TTTCTCCTAATTTTTAAGTGGATCATTTTTTGGAACATCCAGTATAAATTTCCAAAAAAGTATATAGTTAGTAAATATACAATTTTTTATTCGAAGACTTCAGTACGTAGGTAAGGCAGAAATGGGAAAAAATAAGTTAAGTTTCACTGTCTCCTAATTCTGAAGTGGATCATTTTTTGGAACATCCAGTATAAATTTCCAAAAAAGTATAGTTAGTAAATATACAATTTTTTATTCGAAGACTTCAGTACGTAGGTAAGGCAGAAATGGGAAAAAATAAGTTAAGTTTCACTGTCTCCTAATTCTGAAGTGAATCATTTTTTGGAACATCTAGTATAAATTTCCAAAAAGATATCTGGTTAGTAAATATACAATTTTTTATTCAAAGACTTCAGTACGTAGGTAAGGCAGAAGTGGGAAAAAAATAAGTTAAATTTCACTGTCTCCTAACTTTGAAGTGGATAATTTTTTGGAACATCCAGTATAAACTTCCAAAAAAATATCTGGTTAGTAAATATACAATTTTTTATTCGAAGACTTCAGTACGTAGGTAAGGCAGAAATGGGAAAAAATAAGTTAAGTTTCACTGTCTCCTAATTCTGAAGTGAATCATTTTTTGGAACATCTAGTATAAATTTCCAAAAAGATATCTGGTTAGTAAATATACAATTTTTTATTCGAAGACTTCAGTACGTAGGTAAGGCAGAAATGGGAAAAAATAAGTTAAGTTTCACTGTCTCCTAATTCTGAAGTGGATCATTTTTTGGAACATCCAGTATAAATTTCCAAAAAAGGCTATGGTTAGTAAATATACAATTTTTTATTCGAAGACTTCAGTACGTAGGTAAGACAGAAATGGGAAAAAATAAGTTAAGTTTCACTGTCTCCTAATTCTGAAGTGGGTCATTTTTTGGAACATCCAGTATAAACTTCCAAAAAGATATCTGGTTAGTAAATATACAATTTTTTATTCAAAGACTTCAGTACGTAGGTAAGGCAAAAGTGGGAAAAAAATAAGTTAAGTTTCACTTTCTCCCAACTTTGAAGTGGATCATTTTTTGGAACATCCAGTATAAAATTTCAAAAAGATATCTTGTTAGTAAATATACAATTTTTCAGAAAAAACTTTCAGTAAGTAAAAATAAAGTTGAAAGAGAAAGGAAAATTTTGCCTGTTAATCAGACCTGGCTCAATTTTTTGCAACATTCATTATATGGATTTTCAAAAAAGCGAATGGTCAGTTTTCTTCAAAACATTTCAGTAGAAAAAGTAAAAAAGTAAATTGAATAGAAAAGCCTAGTCCACCCGTGTCAGCTTTATGAAATATCCAGTATCAAACATCTGGTTAATAAGATATGATTTGTCATAAAAATATCGCAATCAATAAATTTTTGATATATACAGAACACTCCTGACCGTTCGAGCTTCAACGCAATTTTTTTAGACACTGTAGAAAAAAGTTTTTGAAAATGTATATTTTTTCTTTATGAAAATGTTTAAAAAGATAAATCCATATATAAAATTAAATTGCGGTAATATGTAAGAAATAAATCTTAGGTTTTCCCATTTTCACCGCTGCACTAACGTCTTTATGTGAAGCTTGTCGTCTGTATCAGTATTCTGCCACAAAATGGTCCGCGAAAGATCCAGAATGGTATAAAACAGAGAAATAACAACATTCTACGACCTGGAAGTCTTTAGCTCCAACTTATTTCAATAATTTTCAACTTTTGACATTTGTGGACTAATAAGAATTACGAATGCAATATAGTAATTAACGAAGCAAATGTACTAATTAATACAAAGGTGATAGGGTTTAGGTACTACTGTTTGCTTTAAAATTAGAAAGAAATATACAATTTTTAGTGGGTACTTACAGCAAATCGAGAGACATACAGCAGGTATACCACGTATGTAGTGATAGAGCTAAGAAAAAATGTAAATAAAAACGTAATGATAAATAAATACCTGTATATATCGTAGGCTAGCTATGTACTAGAATTTAAAAGAGGCCTAGAAAGATGAAATAACAATAATCCGCGACCCTTCGAACGTGTTTAGCTTTTGGCGTGAAGTTTATTTTGACGTTTAAATCTGACATCAATCGCGATTGTCATGTTTCCGTCGATGGCCGTTGCCGTCTGCTGACACGTTGCATCTCTGTTCCGTACGAAAAATCGCCGGCAGCCGTCCCGGAAAAGGAAAATTTCACATCGAATACGTTAAGAAATCGTTTTCAAAATATGACGTCTGGATAAAGGAAGAAACGAAGCGTGCTTGGTGCCCTTCGCCGGCCACTTCGCGGCTCGCGAAAAGACCCTTAAGTCCGGCAAATCGCCGTTTTTCGCAGTCAAGTGTGGGAGCGAGAGGAGATTGTAGATTTTAAAGTAAAGTAAAGCGGCCGCATTTCGATTCCGTGTTAATTTCATTAAACATTGTAAATAAAAAATTTGAAAAAGGCATATGGTAAGCAAATAAAACATATTTCTACATAAGATTTAAATAAATAAGTAGAACATAGCGAGAATAAAAAATAAAAAAGCTCTAATCGTTTACGATTCGAATCGGGGTCCCGCGGATAGACGACCGACGTCCAGTCCCTCGAGTTATTTAACGGTCCGCATCGGCTCGAATTCGACGAAAATTTTGAAACGTTCAAATTCCGTTTTTTCGCCGCGATATCGATCGCGAGGGGCGGAAATCGGTCAAGGACGTGAAAATAACGACCCCTACGTCCCGAAAAACATCTAGGAGAGCGAAAATCCGTAGGGCAATTTTCGGTATCGGACGGTGGGCGTTTCCGATATGTCGCGTCTCTGTTTCGCTCCGCGCCTAGCCGAGGTGCCCCTGGAAAACGAAATTTTACCCGCGAAAACACGAAAAAACCGCCGCGAAAACACCGCCGGCGCCGTGCAACGACGTTCGCCACTTCGCGGCTCCCGCGAAGATCCTAAGGTCCGGGAAATCGGCCCTTTTCGCGGCCCAGTGTGGGAGCGAGAGGAGATTGCAGATTTTAAAGATATAGAATATAGAATATAGAATATAGAATATAGAATATAGAATATAGAATATAGAATATAGAATAATACAATCTGTCAAACAATAACAATGTCATGACATCTGTCACTGTCACAGTCTTCCATATAACATTGTCCATGAATTAGACCTCTCACAACCTAATTAGTGAGATTTAGTTAAAATACCTATACGCATTTTGGACCATATCAGTGTCCGATATGGCAAAATATATTACAGCTAAATCTGTCCATGAATTAGGCCTCTCACAACCTAATTAGTGAGATTTAGTTAGAATACGCATTTTGGACCATATCAGTGTCCGATATGGCACAATATAAAAAAGGCAGAAATGCCTGAAATAGATCTAAAAATATTAATTATTACAAGATATCTTATTTTATGGTGTTCCATTTAAATTAACGAAGTTAACATCACCTTCCATTCCGTTTGGACCTCATTTGTTTTTCAACAATAATTTTTGAAACATTCATAAAAAATCGTGCATTACACATTTTTTATAACTTTTAAAGCAAAAAAGGTAAAGGGGGTGTCAAAATATAGCGAATCACCCTGAACCTTAAATTGTAGGTAATTTAGTTGCCTACAACATAAAACAATATGTCGTCTAGATTTTCATGGACAGTAAAAAAAAGTGAAAAAATATGTAAATTTGCAACTTATTTGCAATTTGCCAACATAGCCTCACTTCTTTCGAGTTTCTTTTTTGATATCATTATCATTCTGGGTACCCTTCCCTGTCATGAAGTGCAATAAAATGTCTACTAATAATTTTTTCATATGTTTCAGGTTTTATGATCTAATTCGACTGGAGTATGTGCCGCAAGCATGAGCGATAGTTTAAGGAGGCGAATGTCGACTTACATCTTTCTAGTATTGTTTTAATTTCTGATTCATAATAATCATTTAATTGTGGTGTATCCAAGACTCGCATGCAGCTTGAAAGAACATTTACGGGACTGGAAATTTATATATGAAAATAGTTTGATATAGGCGGTTCCAAGTTAGTGTATTAAATCTAGGATTCGAAAAAATAGGACAGAACAAATTCTGTATGTGTATTACTTAAGCCTGTTGACTGATTTTCCCTCCCATAGAGGTATAAAGCTACTGCTGCATATTAGTGTTACTTTTTGATAATATACATCTGGTCCATATTCTATCATGAACAAAGACAGGTAAAATGATAAAAGCTATAGATGTAATAAAAAATATGGTATCTCTCTCAAAAACAAACAAATTGTGCAAACTATTTCATTACAAGGTTATTAAAGAATTCGTACTTATATTTAATTGTTTTCCGTCCTATTTAAGAGGATATATTTTAATTAAGTAACATTTATATGGTACCAAATAAAAAATAACGATGTGTAAGTGTGTGAAGTTAATTGGAGCAAGTTGTCTAATTTTGAACTTTACCAACATGAATAGTGTATTTCATTTAATTAACAATTAACTGTTAAGTAATTATGTTGGACTTAAAATCGACATTTATTATTAATGCTCAATTTAATTAAGAGACATGTACAGTACACCTACAACGTGTTCTTAAAAAGAATTGAGATAATTTTTTTTAATTTTTAAAAAGGCAATGGAGAAATTATTTTTTTGAGAAATTTGTTTAAAAAAAATTCTAAAATGATCTGTGTGGTGTTCTTCCACAATCTGAATAATAATGAAGATCTGGAATTATTATAGTTATTAATGACACTAACTCGATATGAACACTATAATGAGTGATTTAATTACACAAGTTTTATTAACAAAGTTCATTTTGAATGATCAAAATTTAATCTATGACGGTCCAAATAGATTTTATTTGCAGACTCGATTTATCTTAAAATATCAAAAACGTTGTCATACATTGAAATTCAAAATTATTAGGTGCTTTTATTTGACGATGTCCTGGTAACATTATTGGCGTCCAATTTTGTGTCATAGGTTCAGTTTTAGTGAAAAAGGATATGTGTCATTCTGATTCCGAGATCGAAAACATTGCGCAAAGCGTTGTCAATGTTCTACTTCCCGAAATATCAAAACAGACGTACAAGCAAAGTTATGCAAACCTTGAAGATTGGTGTAAAGGGAAAGGAATCAAGAATAGCAGCAATAAAAAACTTCTTCTGGCATATTTCAAATATCTTTCAAAACATAGCAAGGCTTCGTCGCCTTGGGTATATTATTCTATACTAGGTTCAGTTATATCAATGAAGAAAAATACGGATATTAGTCAATTTAATCGCGTTACTAAAAAGAAAATCGGAAGGATTTCGGTCAAAAAAATCTAAGATTTTAACAAAAGAAAACAACTCGATTTTTGCTGGAAGCCGGCGATATAACTCATTTTATGATAAATGTTACATTGATAGTGGGGCTTGCAGGTGCTTGCGGGCGTACTGAACTGACAAAATAAAGATGAAGAACAATGCATTCAAATTAGTATTCCGTTTACGAAAACAAAGATATCACGAAATTTTTTCATCACACGGAAACATTGATGGAATAAATATGGTGGAAATGGCTCAAAGATATACAGGGTGATTCAGAACTTATCCAAAAAAAAAATTCTGGATGTACAGGGGACCCTTACAAATACAATTTTGTAAAGAAAAAATCAAAAAGGTCAGTTCGAAATTGATTTAAAAATACACTTCTGCACGGCACTGGAAACTGGTCCACTGTAAAACCTGACCTCGCACAATGCGACCGGTATGGCGGCGTGATAAAAACGGACAAAAACTTTCGCAAGGAAAGAAATATGTAAATAGAATTTTATCGCACCTATTTTATATCGGCAAATTCAAATGCTTTTGCCTTTATTAATTATTAATAAAATTAATTTGTGTTTTTAAATAATAAAATCATTTGACATACCCGATGCTGCAACAGCAATTGTTCAAAATTTTATCCACTCACGTGTAAACACATTTGGGTCCGTCTTACTCACTTTCTACGAACTAACACAAATGATGTCTTGCTTCACCATAACACAAATACTTCACCATAATACAAATGTTGTCTTGCTTCACCATAAATTAAAACGATATCCATCAACTCTGAGTTGCTATACACGCAAGCCATTTTTGACACTAACTACTAAAAAACTGATGTAAATACCACAGATAACAGGTAAAAACTACCGCAACGACGGATTTCAGTATTAGGAGTCACATGGCTCTCCACGCGTATTGCGAATGATGCTAGAGACTAAAGTTGTCCAGCTATGTAGTGGTTTAATGTGCTATAACTTTTTTCTCAGAAACTATAAGGATTTTACAAATTTTTTTTTACAATATTGACTCCATTTCTCATGCCGCATCTATTCCCAAATTTTTTTGCATAAGTTGTGGATCACCCTGTACATCGATGAGGCCAAGCAACACAGATCATACTCGACTTGTTGTGGGGTACAGAAATGGAAAATGCATCAAGCAGCCAGTTAGCATTAATACTTTTGGGAAAACGCCATTGTTCCTGGGTCTCCCAAATCCTCAACAATATACATTGTTTTCGTAGATCATCTGCGTCGTTGCTTGCAGATTCAGGAGTTGATTTATTAACTGTTAAGAGGCACGGTGGTTGGTGCAGTCGCCGTTGCTCTCGCAGAAAGCTATATAGAAGATTCCAAAGGAAATAAGAAGAAAGTGACCTCTAATATTTTAGATAACGTTTCAGGCATTGATGGCCCTTCAACAAATTAAAGCACTCGGGAAATAAACTTACTTTCTAAAAATACAACCCACTTATCATCTGCTGGAATTCATTTAAAAAATTAATGTTTACAATAAATAAATGTTGAATTTTTTATAGTTAACAATAAATAAAAGTGGTGACTAACTTTGTTTTTGTTTATTTTATTTGTTATAATGAGGAATCTGTCATAATGACACCGTAGATTATAGTTATTAACGTTACAAGGCCAATGACAAGTAAATGGCGAGGTGGAGTTTGTAATCCGAGGCGTAGCGTAGCGTAGCCGAGGTTTATAATCCACCGAGGACGTTATTTACGTATCGGCCGTGTGTCGTTCAACGGTTTTCGTTACACCAGTTTCATTCATTTTATTTAAAAAGCAATTTTCACAAATAATATGGACATGCCAAAGAAATGAAAACATCAAGTCACAAGGTGGTTGCTAGGTAATAAGTGTGTTTGTTTTGTAGAAATTTATAACTAACGTCTAGCATAAAGAAGCGTCGCGTTGACTTCCATTTGAAGGTTTTCAAATTTATCAGAATAATAATTGTGAAATCAATTTCCATGTTCATTATAATGAAAAATAAAACTTTTGTTTAACAGGAAATCATCATAATTATCTAATAAATGCAGTTGTATGTTGTGTGATTGTGTGTGTATGTGTGAAGGAATCTAACCGGTTATCGTGTATATTTTGGGGTATGTTTGTAACGCGCTCGCGGTCGGTCGGTTTTCTCTTTTTAGTTATTTTGATTATTTTATCTATGGTATATGCACCCCGTTTGGCTAATTCGGAAAGGTCTGTAAAATCTAGCGTCACTTTTGAAACGCTTAAATTTTGTCCACCCTCGGTATGATTAACTAATTTTCGGGAACAGACTTTTGTAATAACTCTCGCGTCCCTACTCGGGCAGTAAATTTTGTAACGGTCTTCTATTCCTTTGACTGAACTCTAAACGGAAAAATTGTTTAACAATTTATTTACTGTTTTTAGACGTCACAGGCGTCCCTATTCAAACGCCGATTTTCGTGACGCTCCGCTCCTTCGCCTAACGGAATGTATCGGCGGCGGTGATTGGTGGCCAGGGGGAATGAGTAACGTCACAGGCACGAACTCCGGTTGCTATACTCGGTTAGTCTCGGGCGCTAGTTTCCCTATATTTTACGTGGGGGAAACTCCACGTAACCCTTACCCTCGGTTTAGAGTAAAGTGCACAGGTGGCTGCAGTAAAGAAAATTACAATTCCAGGGGTCAGCTGTATTTCTTTTGGGTTAAAACGGCAGAGAGTAGTTTTCTCAGTGTAGTTTTATTTTAAATATATAAAATTAAACGGAATTATTTGTGTATTTCGACAAAACGGTATCAGCGTTTTTGCTGGTTCAGAATTTTATCAGTCTACTTCGGTTTTGAAAGAAATACACCTATTAACTTTACTAGATTTATTCGCAATGAAAATTTTAAAGCTTTGTACAAACAAAAATCGTCTAAATCGGCTAAATGAATAATAATTATACAACATAACGGTGATAGAGAGAAGACTAGAAATTAAAGATTTTTTTATACAACTAAAGAAATATATGATTTACGGATAAAGTTAAAAATAAAACATTACCATTTTGCAATAATACACGGATTTAAGTAAAAGAATTCGATTTTGAAAGGTGCTGATAAGAAAACAGATATTAATACATTTTTTGTCGGTCCCCGTTGGTTCTGAAAATAAAACAAAATTATACGGACGAATTTCGGATTAATTTACACTCAGGTCGGCGGTTTAATGACGGCAATGCGGTCCAGCAAGCAACGGAAAATTAACAAGCGGTATGCGGTAGCAACAACCAGTGAAGAAAGCCCAAGCGGTGCAAAGCGGAAAAATTAGGTGGTGACAGGTGGTAAAACGGAATCCGAAGTAACTCGCTTTGCAATTTGTACTGTCTTTCAAGTTTTATATGTCCTGGTGGCCGACGTAGTCGGACTCTCAGTATACAACGCTTCCCGGTCTGAACCGTACGTATACTATATGGGAACGACCCGAAGATTGGGTATACACGCCGAACCACTAGGTCTTAGTTCGCATATCCCCTATTACTCTGCGTAAATCCTGGTGTGGGACACCGGGCAACTCTGAAGTAATCACGAAGGCTCCTTGAAGATTGAGTATACACGCCGAATCTCACGGGTGCTCTGTCGTGTGGGTTGAGAAGGAAGGTGAAATTTATCTGCGGGATACCAAAAATATTCTTCTCTGGCCCGCAGTAATACTACACTTAAAAGCGTACAAATCTTTTCGGACTTGTACTCGGTCGGAACGGAAAATAATTAAAAAGGAAAATAATTCTTACTAGGTTCACTGGTTATGCTTGGAGGGCTTCGGTGGAGACTACTTACTGCTGGTGGACCTTGTATGTATTGAGTTCTGGATAGAAACTGCCGGTTTTGGGGAATGTACTTCGCTTTTGTTGCCTCGATCCCGACCGGATTAGCACAAGTCGTGGTGGGATCTTCACGTGATTAGCGACTTGTTAGAGTAGGGCAACGTCCTGTCTGACCCACAAGTGGATATATATATATATATATATATATATCTAGCGCATAATATTNCAAAAGTGGATATATATATATATATATATATATCTAGCGCATAATATTGCGGCCATACATGGAGCAAATTACATACATTATTGCTTCAACGACGGCCGTATACCGGCCGCAATAATTCGATCATTGATTTTACCATGAAAACGATTTAACTTGCTATGTTATTCATATTTACTAGCTAGATGTCGTTTTAAGTTATTCAAATATTTACAAGAAATATACCAAAAACCACGGCCGCAATAAGGTCAGATTAGTTCAGCACTTTAGCTGTAGAGGCGCTGACGTCATATACATTTTAATATATATATATTCATATATAAGTCGGTTATTTTACATTTCATGAATATTATTGCGGCCGAAAATTTGGCAACATCGAAAAGCAAATTTTGTGCGTTAAATTAGATTTAGTGCTGCAGTAAAAATGATTAATTTTCTCATTTTTCAATCCACATAGCTTCGTTATAAATAGAGCTACAAAAAAGTGTGACAATAATAGTTGTACACAAATATCTTCCCAGACAGATGACAATTAGTTTTCTAACGTAATCCATACTGTTTGAATGAGGACAAGTTACCTTTTTTAAATAGAATGTATAGTAAACTATGGCATCATTAAAATGGTTATGTTTTATGCTAGATTTTTGCATTCGAGACTGAAAGCTTTCAAAAAATCATTCGAGAATGTAAAAGAATTTCGCAATCGAGTATCAAACAACATATTTTTGAAAACTGTATCTCATACTTCAAAAATTACTAAAAATATGAAGAGAAAATTTTCACATTTACAATGAATTTATTTGACATGTATGCCAACTACAATTTACTGCATATATTTTAATATCAAATATTCTCAGTAACGATACCAGTGCAACAAACAAGTTTTAGTAAACAATCTCTATCAACTGTAATTTCATTGATTTTTGTAGGCTGATGTAAAAAACTTTTACGTTCTGAAGACAAAAAACTGTTGTTTTGACACTTAACAAATATCATGTAAAAGTCAACTTTTAATGATAAATATCTTTATCTTTAAAAATCAAAATAAAAATCTTTAAAATACTTTTAAAGATTTTTTAATTACTTCTAATTATGATATCGTGGGAATTACAGAAACTTGGTTACATAATGGCATTGCAGATGATAAAGTACAAATTAACGATTATTCATTTGTGCGGCAAGATCGACCGGAGCATGCTGGGGGAGTTGGTTTATATATAAAGAACGGATTTAAATTTAGGGTGATTTTAAGTGAATATAGATTTCATTGAGGATGTTTGGATAAAGTTAGATTTTTTTGGGAAAACTATTATTATTGGTACTATTTATAGAACACCCAATACTGACTGCACACAATTTCTTAATTATTTTGAAGATATATTAGCTAATTTTTATGCTCAGGAAGATCTAATATTGTGTTTTGGAGACTTTAATATTAATATGTTTCAGTTAAATTCAAGAAATGCGTCTAATTTAATAAATATTACAAGAGTTTTCAATATGGAGCAGATTATTTCAGAACCTACTCACTCGGATAGGTACTTCATTTTCCTTGATTGACTTAATTTTTTATAATTCTGATAATATTGCTGAGTATGGTGTGAAAGACGTTCATGTGTCGAATCATTTTTTAACATATTGTAATTTAATATTTAATCATTTGAAACCTATAGTTACAAGTATTACTTACAGGGCTTTGCGTAGAATTGATGTGGATTTATTTCAACGTGATTTGGAAAACTTACATCTACAGGAAATTTTTGATATAGTCAGTATTGATGATAAAGTTGAGTTTTTAACTACAAATATAATTAACTTATTTGACAAGCATGCTTCCTTGCAAGTTACTAATTCTCGCAAGAATACTTATTGCCCGTGGCTCATTGATAACATCAAGTTAATGCAAAATTTACGTGATAAGGCCTTTAAAAAGTATCGACTATCCAGATCTCCTGAGGTTTGGGCCTCTTATAAACAATATAGAAATTTAACAACTTGTGCCATCAGGGCCGAAAATAAGAGCATACCTTTCTTATAAATTTCAAAACTCTAATGCTAAAGATAAATGGGATGAATTGAAAAGATTAAATATATGCAAAATATATAAATATACCTGAAAATTTAAGGGATGTTGATAAGTTAAATAAATATTTCATTGAATCATCATGCAATACTGTTGCGCCTGATGTTGAACTGATAAATTTTTATAAAAATAATAAAATAGTTGATAATTCGTTTAATTTTGACACTATAACTGATAATTTGATAATGCATATAATTAAAAATATGAAATCTAAAGTATTTGAATGTGATAATTTAAATATAACACTTATACTTATATATTGCCCGTATATTATACCTTATATTATGCATATCATAAATGCATGTACAGGGTGTCCCGAAATTCATGCAACAAAATTTGGTCATAGATTCTTAAGACAAATTTAGGGGACCCGTATTTTTTCTTTTTGCTAACTGGCCGCCCTCTTTCGGAGTTACAGCCCCCTGAAATCTGCCCCTAAGAAGTCTTTTTTATATCTTAAAACCATGTTGTACGAGAATCACTAAATTTGGTATACAGGGGTTTTATGAGATGTGGAATCTCACAGTGCTACGCTTTTTGGCGAGAAACCCCCTTAAAACACTTTTTCGTGGGCCTCTTTGTCTTTGGAACCAGAAAAATTTGGTCGCAAATTTGATTTTTTTTTTAAATTACTAATTAGCTAGAAAGCCATTGAATTTAGAAACTTTTTTGTTTCTTGATATTTGTTTCGTAAAACGCAATGTTTTTGAGGAAAATGGCGAATCACGATATGCATTCGATCACATTTTGTCATTTTTCTCGAAAACATTGCGTTTTACGAAAAAGTATAAAGAGACAAAAAGTTTCTAAATTTAATGGCTTTCTAGTGGACTGATAATTTTTAAAAAATTTAAATATGCGACCAAATTTTTTTGGTTCTAAAGACAAGGGGGCCCACGAAAAATTGTCTTAAGGGGGTTCCCCGCCAAAAAACGTAGCACCATCAGATTCCACATGTCATAAAACCCCTGTGTACTAAATTTAGTGATTCTCGTATAACAGGGTTCTGAGATATAAAAAAAAGATTATTCTTATGGGCGGACTTCAGGGGGCTGTAACTCTGAAAGAGGGGGCCATATGACAAAAATAAAAAATACGGGTCCCATAAATTTGTCTTAAGAATCTGTGACCAAATTTTGTTGCATGAATTTCGGGACACCCTATATAGATCAGTGTTATTTTCCTAAATCCTGGAAATGTGCAAACGTCATTCCGCTTCCTAAGGTTAACAATCCAACAGAGCCAACCCATCTTCGATCGATCTCAATTTTACCCGCATTGAGTAAGATTATTGAAAAATTTATGGAAATGCAAATTACTGGATTTCTAAGTGCCAACAATATCCTTCCGGAAAAATATTCTGGTTTTAGGCGTAGATATAGCTGTTCAACTGCTCTTTCTGATTTGACAGATGATATTTTTAAGTCAAGAGATAATAGTGAAGCTATGGTACTGGTCTTGTTGGATTATAGTAAGGCATTTGACACTCTTAATCACGATATACTCAATTCAATTTTTCATTATATAGGTTTCACAAGTCCCGCATCATCGCTAATAACCTCATTTCTTTGTGATAGGAAACAGCGAGTATCACTCGATAATAAGTTTTCACAACCTCTTGTCATGCTGTCTGATGTACCACAAGGAAGTATATTAGGGTTGCTATATTCTGTCTACACTTTAAATGTTATTAAATCGCTGGTTTATTGTAAATATCATATGTATGCGGATGATACACAACTTTACTATTCTTTTAATCCCTCTGAAGTAGTCCATGCTAACTTTAATTAATAATGATTTATGTAACTTAGCATCTGCGTCTAAAATCATTTGTTAAAAGTAAACCCAAAAAAATCTGTTGCCTTGCTTTTCTGTGGTAACAATATTAGAGCTAACTTATTGGATAGACTGATGATAAAAATTAATGATGATAATATAGAGTTTAAAGATTCGGCAAAAAATTTAGGTCTTGTTATTGATTATAATCTTAGATTTAAAGAGAAAGCGTATTCTGTGTTGAAAATGATATATTCGCACAGACACTATGTGTAATTACTGTGATAATGTGTATGGTCCGTGTTGGGATACTATCGATTCTAAACGTTTATAAAAATTGCAAAACTCGTGTCTTAGATTTATATTTGAAATTAGACGCACACAAAGAATTTCACACAAACTAAGGGAATTATCTTGGCTCAATATGTACAATAGAAGATACTTACATCTAACTTGTTCCTGTTACAAAATTTTGAAATTTAAAGCCCCTCCATATTTATATAGGAAAATTAAATTCAGAACTGACGTTCATAATTAAAACATTCGCAGAAAACATATATTAAACATACCTTATCAGCGCAAGCAAATTTTTAAACGCTCTTTTAGTTATAGTAGGTATAGTTTCATGTATTAATAAGCAGAACGTTATTGATCTATCTTTCTCTGTCCTGCAATTAGCTGAGTTATCGAATATTTAATTTGTAAGAATTGGTTAGTTATTTTTTTACACAATGTATAACTTGCACCTACTTTCTGATATTCCCGCTTTTTATAGTTATTTATGTCCCGAGGGCGGAATAATGTTATGCCAAAAGATGCCACTGAAACTGTATTACTGGCATATTTTCAAGAATTGGTAAGGAATATTCTATGTTTTTCGGTAGATAACGAAACGAGATATCGCCAAGTTCAATGAACTAGAGGTTTTTTTGAAACGGAAGAGTAAGAGTTATAAGTCGAAAAAGTCTGCTGTTTTATCTCCTAATGATGTTATCAGATTTCTAAAGAACGCTCCTAATGAAATTCATTTATTGCATAAGGTAATTTTTTTCTTATTTTCCTTTTTGTGTGTATTTATTTCCTTTTTTTGTTTTAGGTTGTTTTGATTATGGGTTATTTTGGAGGATGCAGAAGTCAGGAACTTTTGAATATGAAGATATCGGATATAGAGGACCGGGATTCCGTTATGGTAGTGAACGTACCGGAAAGTAAAACTGGTGTATCGAAGAAATTTACAATTGTGGATGAAAAAGAGTTCTCTGCTTTGCCTTTATTAAGACTTTATATGTCATTGCGTCCTAAAGGTATTGAACGATTTTTTTTGCGCTTCCGACAAAATAAATGTACATCTCAGCCAATTGGAAAAAACATGTTTGGGAAAATTCCCAGCAAAATCGCAATGTATTTAGGATTGCCAAACCCATCTTCCTATACGGGACATTGCCTTCGTCGCACTTCTGCTACTGCTCTAGCTAATGCAGGAGCAACTATGACTAACTTAAAAAGACACGGAGGTTGGAAAAGTTCCACGGTGGCGGAGGGGTATCTGGAGGATAGCATCGAATTGAGAAATAAAACGGCGCGTATGTTGTCTACTTTGCCATTAGAAGAGGCAGGTACCTCGACTGTAGTGAACAGAAGCTCCAGCCATACAAAAGAAGAAATTGTTTCCAGTGGCGGTAGTAATTTTCAGGGAACATTTCAAAATTGTACATTTATTATTTGTAATGACGCAAATAAATAAAATATGGTTCAGTTTTCATTTCATAAATATATACACATATATGTATATTAGCATTTTTTATTTTATTTTTACTTGTGAAAGGTAGAGGGAATTATAGAATCTATAATGTCCCAAGGGAGTTATGACTGTCTTTATAGTAGTATAGCTATGTTCATACGGAGCCAAAATCCCATGTATTTTCTTATGGAGGTTCAAATTAGCGAAAATGGTACCTTTCAAGGTCATTCGAGGAGCTGCCTCCCGAGAAGCCCGGCCTCGCTTTCAGGGTCACCCCCACATCCCCGCAGTCCCCCACGTAGGTCTTTGCCCCCCAGAGTCCCCCACGTAGGTATGTGGCCTAGGGCTTCGCCCCTAGCCCAGACCATTGCCATCTAGGGTCCCATGTATGTCTTTATCCCACATAGGTAGGCCTAGGGCTTCGCCCCCCAGTCACGGGTCCCCATATAGGGCTCTGCCGCCGTCGTCATGGGCCCCATTAAGCGGGTGCCTTAGCCACAGCGCTCTCTCCTAATACCTAACGCGGACGAGCGCTTATCAGTAGATGTCGTTGCAAGTAGAGCGAGCAGCCCCCTAGGGCCCCCATGCAGGTATCCTCACATAGGGCTTTGCCCCCTAGGACCTCCCCACCTAAGGCTTTGCCCCCTAGGACCCCCACCCAAGGCTTTGCCCCCTAGGGCCCCCATGCAGGTATCCCCACGTAGGTTGCCTTCCGAGCGAAGGGCTTCGCCGCACCTAGGACTTTGCCCCCTGGGGTCCCCACGCAGGTCACCCACGCCGTCCGCGTAGGTCACTCCATGTCGGGGATACGCTGTCGCGTGTACCCCAACGTAGGTATGCCGGAGTTAGGCTCCCGCGAGGAGCTTCGCCTCAGGGCCCCACGCTTCGGTGTTGGAGGGCAGCAAACGCTTATCAGTAGTAGTAGTACTTGGCGTTATCAGTAAGGACACCGACACCACCTTAGTTTCCTAAAGAGCTAGTAAGGAACCACCTTGCAGTCTGCAGCGGATGTGACGTTACAAGATGGCGGCGGTCTGCGTGGAAGGTGATTGGTCGTTAGGGATAAGATGGGTGCGGTCTGCAGAGGATGTGACGTCATAAGATGGCGGCGGTCTGCGTGGAAGGTGATTGGTCGTTAGGGATAAGATGATTGCGGTCTGCGTGGAAGGTGATTGGTCGTTAGGGATAAGATGGCTGCGGTCTGCGTGGAAGGTGATTGGTCGTTAGGGATAAGATGGCTGCGGTCTGCGTGGAAGGTGATNCTGGGCTAGGGGCGAAGCCCTAGCCCACATACCTACGTAGGGGACTCTGGGGGGCAAAGACCTACGTGGGGGACTGCGGGGATGTGGGGGTGACCCTGAAAGCGAGGCCGGGCTTCTCGGGAGGCAGCTCCTCGAATGACCTTGAAAGGTACCATTTTCGCTAATTTGAACCTCCATAAGAAAATACATGGGATTTTGGCTCCGTATGAACATAGCTATACTACTCTTTATTGATAGCGTAACTATGACGATATAAGCTTATAATATCCCGGTCAGAAATAAAATACATTTTAATATTTTCAACTAAAATTTGAGCTTTCGAGATTAAAAATTAAATGAGATAAGAGTCTATTGAATGTAAAAATGGTTTCACAAATTTAAAAAAGAAACTATATATCTTTAAATTAATAATTGAATTTGAGGATAAAGTATACAAAAATAACATCCTATAAAATTGAAATAAAAAACAGTAGTTTGAAATAAGATAGTAGATGTTTATTTTTGGTACAACCAGAGATTTCATACCAACGTCATAATTTTAATCCCTAGAAGAATATGACAAATATTCTTCATACACAATTTTTTAAAATACCAGTGAATTTACTTTTCCAGATACGACTAATTGAAGATTTTCCTGACACACTGTCATGAATGATATTATTTTATTTATTTGTTTTACTGTCATTTTTTTTAATTTATACATGTTATTAAAAAAAATAATGATGAAAATAAAAAAAGTTTAATTTTTATGGAGCTGCATATCTCTTAACGAGTATTTTTTAAATTTTATGGTTTATAAGTTTTAAAATACCGAAATTGTACCAGCAATAATTTTTTTGCAATGGGTTGGTGACAGTTTCAGTGTTTCTGGTGTCTAAAAATTTCTATCAACTTGTTTTAAAATAACAACAAATTCAGATTTTTATCAACAAATTGTAACCTATTAAATCATTTCATACCGAAATGATACCTACCAGCAACAATTTTTTTGAAAATCTATTATTAAATTATGTACTTAAAGTGGCGACAAATTCATTTTACCAGTTTTTTTCATAAATTACATTCTATGAGATAATTTTATACCAAATGATAGCAACATTTTTTTTAAGAATAAAAATCAGATTATCAGATAATTGGCACAATATTCTCACGTACGTATAATTTAATTAATTTAATTCTACGTCTAGGAAATTGTAGGGACACACAAAAAAAATTTCCGAAAGTCAACTCTTACACTTACAGAAACTAATCACAAAAAAATTTTAAATCAGTAATGGTCTTTCTCAAATAAGATATTTGGCAAGATTGTTGGCTGCAATAATATGTGTGGATTAAAAATTAATATACAAGCCGGCCGCAATAAAGTCGGCAATGGCTGTCACAAAGTTAGCTAACTGAACGGATCTTACAAAGTACGTCTAACGAAAAGGAAACACATTTTTATTTTTAAAGATAGAAATATGTAAATTATATACGGGGGCTGCAAAAAATGAGCTGAATCAGTATTCACGTAAAAATTTACTCTATATTCAGCGGTTCTCGATGTGCAATAAGGTATACTGAATGTAATGTTGCAATAATGATAGCGGGATGTATATATATATATATATTGTTATGATATTAAGGGCCAAGAACGAGAACCAAGTACTCAATACATGAAAATTTCAAAATTAAAACGTTGAGAGATAAAACTCTATCAACAGGGATGTGTCACACTAAATATTTATGAAATGAGAAATATAATTTAGCACATAGTAGGTATAAGTTTTATACACAAAAATGCAAAGATCGCTACATGAGAAAATCCATATGTCAAAATAAAGTTACAATATAAAATTTTCAATTAAAAAGCTTAACAAAGGCAAGAATATGTACTAGAAAATTAAAATGTATCACCCAGTACAATTCTGTAAAGATTTTCACCAGATAGAAGCACTGGTTTAGGGAAATTTAAATAAACAAGATTTTGACAGCTAGAATTATCGGAGAACAAATTAACATTACACTTATAAATAGAAACCTTGTATTTAAATAAGACTATAAGTAAAGTTTAGCATACCTTTCATTGATATTTATGAGTGGAATCAAAATTAAAGTTCTGTATATGACTCTGATAGCGATTTTCGAAATGTCAAACCCTTGACGTGATATTATGTAAAAATTTATTGTATAAATGATACTTTTCATGTGTAAAATGACTTATATCGTGTTCATGAGACTTTCTGTGCATCCAAGACTGTATTTGCATACCGATATTCATATCACATAGTGTAGAAAACAGTACGGAATGTCAAAGAACGGTGTACCTGAAAAATTTCATTATTAGACGATTTGTATATCATATAACTGTATAAAATAGTGAAAGTAATGTTAAATAAGTGTTAAGAAACAAGACTAGTGGCATGGAATTAAATTTAACAACGTAATTTGCACAAATTTTGATAAAATAGCGAAAATCTATAATAACCTCAAATATAATCTTAGTATAAAGAATTAGGTATCAAAATTTTCAGCAAAATGTGTAGAAATCAAATACATCAGTGTCGTGTTGTATAGTACAAGCATAAAGGCACAATTTTAAAGTAAAAATTTCATGAAATTCCAAATTTATATCTCCATGACAACATAGTGTTGTGTCATTCAGTTATAAAAACTATTGTACGGCTTCTGGGTAGCCAGTCTTCCATAATTCATCGAACAGTCATCATAAAAATTTCCTGAAAAAAACAAAAAATTGTATAAAGTGTAAATAAGTTTTTAAGTAGTTACCTGGTTTCAAGCTAGTGACTACAAAGTTTTGACAACTGTCAAACGCATCAAAATTTACACCAGTCATAATTTCTTAATTGTACAAACGTTTACTGGAATTTATTTAATGGGAATTAGAAATTATTGTAGTCAAATGTGTAAGAAATAAATTTCCAACAAGTATAGTGAAGTGCTACGAAAAAGTGCTCCGATAAACTACCAGTGGAGATATAATTATATGGTAGGAAATTTGGCGTATCCAGATCAGCTGTAGTCCACACCAACCCAAAACGAGGTCACCCCATTCAGCAGACGGATATAGGACCAACTTCGCATCTTCGTGTAATTGTGAGTTGTAGCTACACTAAATTGGCCAATTTAAAAATTCAGATTTAACAATTCTATTTAAAAATTTTAACAATCCTAACAGTACTAGTACAAATTCGTGATTTTATTAAAACAATAAAAGTCGACCATAAATTTCCACCTCTAAATTAAATTAGATATAAGATATAAAAATTTGTCAACTGTCAAGAAACTTCATATTTGTAATATATTTATTAATTTGTATTGAAACTAGTAATTTTCATTTCATATAAATAACAAAGTGAACCACACCTTGAGAGGAAGAGTGAGATAGATCTCAACATTATTAAGACTAGATTATAATTGGCGCCTGGGCAAAATTCAAATTAAATTCAAAATCAAAATTTAATATATAAATTAAAATCAAAATTAAATAAAATCAAATCATACAAATTATTCATACATTCAAAAGAATATAACAATATATATATACAGGGTGACCCATTAAGAATGGAAACACTCGCGTACAAAAGTTGTTTATGGACCGATTTGAAAAGGGTTTTTTTTAAAAGATAGATCTCCAAAAGCTCTATCTTGACGCAAAATTTGAAGACGAAATTTTGATTTTCAAGGCCTACTACGAATTTTTTTTTTTAAGTGAAAAATAGCAAAATTTTGTTAGCGATTTTTTTATAAAAAATCTGACTACACCACTGGATTTAGAAACCCCTCAAAAGCATTTGTACCAATTTTTGCAAAAAAAAAGTTTTCCCCTAAAAAAGTTATGACAATATCGGCATCACCAGTG